TGTGTGTGTGTGTGTGTGTGTGTATACAATGTTATACCTAAGTAGTTCCAGCGCATTTCGATGACCTTTTCGGGGGTTGTTGGTGGTCCGTCTTCACATTGTATTTTATGTCATATTCAGATGAACTGCAACTTGAGGGCGAATCTCTATGTGCCTAGACTACCATTAAAACGTTTATCTGCAACCCGGGTTGTGTGTACCATACCTAACTGCCAAGGAAGCCTTTGTGCACTGGCCAACTGAGAAACGATGAACAGGCATGGTTTGGCACGTTGGCTATGCGATTTGTGAGGATTCGAACAGAACAAGAAGAAAATGTAAGCATCCCCAGCAAATCACACGCATAGAATGCATCACACAGTCGCTGCCAGCCGGCAGGGCAATGGTGTGAACCACCCTGGCCAGCGGTTAGAGCAGTGGTGTGGACTACTGAGCAGCGTCAGAGCAGTGGTGTGGACCGTCCTGCCCAGCGGTCAGAGCAGTGCTGTGGGCCGTCCTGCCCAGCGGTCAGAGCAGTGGTGTGGACCGTCCTGCCCAGCGGGCGGAACAATGGTGTGAACCGTCCTGCCCAGCGGTCAGAGCAGTGGTGTGGACCGTCGTGACCAGCGGTCAGAGCAGTCCTGTGGACCGCCCTGACCAGCGGTCAGAGCAGTGCTGTGGGCCGTCGTGACCAGCGGTCAGAGCAGTGCTGTGGACCGCCCTGACCAGCGGTCAGAGCAGTGCTGTGGGCCGTCGTGACCAGCGGTCAGAGCAGTGCTGCGGGCCGTCGTGACCAGCGGTCAGAGCAGTGGTGTGGACCGTCGTGACCAGCGGTCAGAGCAGTGGTGTGGACCGCCCTGCCCAGCGGTCAGAGCAGTGGTGTGGACCGTCGTGACCAGCGGTCAGAGCAGTCCTGTGGACCGCCCTGACCAGGTCAGAGCAGTGCTGTGGGCCGTCGTGATCAGCGGTCAGAGCAGGTGGGGCCGTCGTGACCAGCGGTCAGAGCAGTGCTGCGGGCCGTCGTGACCAGCGGTCAGAGCAGTGCTGCGGGCCGTCGTGACCAGCGGTCAGAGCAGTGGTGTGGACCGTCGTGACCAGCGGTCAGAGCAGTCCTGTGGACCGCCCTGACCAGCGGTCAGAGCAGTGCTGTGGGCCGTCGTGACCAGCGGTCAGAGCAGTGCTGCGGGCCGTCGTGACCAGCGGTCAGAGCAGTGCGTGTGGACCGTCGTGACCAGCGGTCAGAGCAGTGGTGTGGACCGTCGTGACCAGCGGTCAGAGCAGTCCTGTGGACCGCCCTGACCAGCGGTCAGAGCAGTGCTGCGGGCCGTCGTGACCAGCGGTCAGAGCAGTGCTGCGGGCCGTCGTGACCAGCGGTCAGAGCAGTGGTGTGGACCGTCGTGACCAGCGGTCAGAGCAGTCCTGTGGACCGTCCTGACCAGCGGTCAGAGCAGTCCTGTGGACCGCCCTGACCAGCGGTCAGAGCAGTGCTGTGGGCCGTCGTGACCAGCGGTCAGAGCAGTGCTGTGGACCGTCGTGACCAGCGGTCAGAGCAGTGCTGCGGGCCGTCGTGACCAGAGGTCAGAGCAGTGCTGTGGGCCGTCCTGTGGACCGCCCTGACCAGCGGTCAGAGCAGTGCTGTGGACCGTCGTGACCAGAGGTCAGAGCAGTGCTGTGGGCCGTCGTGACCAGAGGTCAGAGCAGTGCTGTGGGCCGTCCTGTGGACCGCCCTGACCAGCGGTCAGAGCAGTGTTATGGGCCGTCCTAACCAGAGGCCAGGGCGACCCACGGGAATATTCGTCCTCTGTGCGAGCACAGGCCCAGTTCCCACAACAAAAGTCGTCCGGGCCTGGCGCTCGTGTCACGTTATGTCGCGACCCCGCTCTGGCAGAAGCGCGTCACAAAGCGGTTCAGAGGCGAGCTCGAGCTAATATCCGCTCCACTCACCGCGCGCTTCCTGAGAACGACGAAGGTCACACTGTGCTGCATACATGCGACACGTGAATTAGCAAAGTCGGCTCATATTGTTGTAACAAACTAAAATGAAATGGCAGCCAGCTGAGATAAAAAACAATGTCACAGAACTGCATGTTGCCAAGAACCAGCTGAGCGCATGTATCGGAATGTGGTGCATTGAACAGGGCATCTCTGAGGCAACGGGTGATGTGCGAGTTGTCAGCAATCTTCATTCTGTACACAATCCTTGCATTTTCAAGGAAGCACGGAATCAAGCGACCAAATTCATCATCTGCACATCAGTCACGCACAATTAATTACCAGCAGCCAGGAAAATGACATTCCACTACGTAAACACAAATCAGCAGAGCTTAAGTGAAAATCACCCGCGGCATCTGCCCGGTGTGCACCATTTTCCGGGTCCATTTTCTCCCCCAGTACGCCGGGCATTGTCATCTCCCCAGAGCACACCAACAAAACATCCATCCCGCGGCATTCGTGCATTATCTGCGGATCGGGTGTCCGACGTGTCGCTCAATATGCTATTTATCATAGCTGACGTTGGCTGCGAGGCGCGCCACTCGGCGCAACTAATGGCGCGAAACTATCCGATTGGTCGGCACCCCGGGGCCGGAAGCTGGTGGGGAAGGAGCGCTAATTGCGTGGCCGGGTGGCGACCAACGCTTGCCATAAGTTCCCCGAGAGCAGGGCCGCTGGGGGAGGAGTGATGCCAACCCTGGCGGGCTCCATAACGATGACCTGAGCCTGGCTGACGGGCTGGGTCGGTGGGTCGTGCCGTTGGACGCAGATCATGGATACGCCGCTGCTGGGAAGTTGGAGGATTGGGGTGTGACCAAAAAAAAGAGTAAAAGGATCCCAAAAAACATGAAAGATCTGACAGCGTGAGGTAGGGCAAGTGCGCGGTCTTAAAACTAACTGCTCAGTTTATCATATTTGGCGTAAAATTCTGACGAAATGTGGTAGGGAAGCGAGCAACGCCGACTTTGAAAGAGTCTCTGCTATCCTCATAATCTATTTGTAAAGAGCCTACTTCCTTTTTTCAAATTGGCTCACCTTATGAAAATAAATACTGAATACGTGAGACTCGATCGATTACGCCCACCAAGCCATCAATATATTCATGCTATTGCTATCAATTCGGCCGCAAATGAAAACAACTCAAATCCATGTATGAATTTGCGTGGATGAGCTTGTATACAGGTTGGCCCACTTCGTCTGCTGAAATAAACATGTCTTTATATTACCAGATACCGCATCTATATCTCTGAATATGAGTAGCAGTTTTATACATGATCTTTGGCTGGCTCAAATGTGAAACTTTCGTCAAAAATGAATAGTATCACGTTGGAATTTGGACGGAAGTGTTCCCACACAGCGCTCAAAGCCCGATGTTAAAACTAAGAAACGTTGGAAAAGACTTTGAACCTCTCCAAATGCGCGTGAGGTTTCACCCGCGACGAGCTCTATCAAAACAGAAATGACTGAAACCGTGCATCAGTTGCCTTATACACCGACGCAGTATGCTCTGTGTTGAAACACACATTCTTACGTGAATTACTGAAAAAAACATCTCAACACGGTCCGAGCAGTTCCAAAGGAATCTTTTATGTAGCGTCATGGTACTCGGCGCGGAGGTACTATGCTCAAACCACGCTAGTATATTCCGCTGGTATAGGAAGGGTTGGACATTACAAAAGCGAGTAGCCGGCGGGGCTAGAGGTGGGACAGCCCTCGCCAACTCCTTCGAGTACTGACGTTCAGGTCGGCACCAGGTCAGTGACTGGGCAGCTCGAGGAACGGCACGTGTGCTTAGCAGCCGTTGGTGCGGTGCATACGGACGAGCTGGACTCTGAAGTCGTACCAGAGACTGGAGTCGTACTCATACCAGACTGCCAAATAGGGGTGTCTACAGTAGGCCGTGTACAGACCTGAGTGCGTCACGCCAGAATATTGTGTCACGAGGTAAGCTCAGAAACCCAGTCTCCCGGTGGGGCAGAGTATGGCGACCGGTCCAGACTATGCTAGACTCTTTATTTTATGTAGCTTTATGAAAGGCACGCATTCACCGTCAATCGCTTCTTACCGTTAATACGGCGTGAAGCGGATAACCACCGCTGATCATTTTCCGCCGTTAACTCGTGAATTGCGTAGTTATTCTCTTCGTGAAAAGTAAAGAACGCCACTTGCGTCCGGCATTTATTAGGTCAAACAAAGTGCATTACAATACCGTCCGAGAGTCATACTACGGAACCAGGTCACATAGACAACACAAATGCCTAGGCGTAGGAACATCGGTACCAATAAATAAGTCGAAACATTCTAAGTTACGCAAACTTTATGAAAACCACGGCAAAATCCCGAAGCTCATAACGATAGCCGCAAAAGCTAAGATTCTACCCACGCATGCATTCCACCCAGATACGACTGTGTTCGCCAAAGGCAAACCGGTTGAGTCCAAACGCTCCAACGTCATAACCACTGCAAGCTCTGTTCAGATATGTACACATGCGCATACGCACATATTCCTGAGTAGCTGCAAATGTGATTCACCCTCACTCAAGGCACGACACCATACGCACCTGCACCTAACTTACTTATTCACGCTTACGCACGTGAGATGTGCATCAACAAGGATCTGCGTGATCCAATCTTATCACAGATGTGTAGCAGAGGATAGCCCTCTAACGTCGTTCGTAACAGTCTAGATAAGCCCCACTATCGCCGAATGGTCCCGTGTTTTGCATGCGATCGAAGCAGATTCCACGAACCTGTGAGTTCGGGGAGTTGCATAGCGGATAATCCTGGAAGCTTGACGAAATACGCAACGGGCCGTGATATTTGGATATTTATGTGATTTGGTTATTAAATACCACAGATGCAATTGGTAAATCAATCTGACATTACTGACATGGGCTGCGTAACAGGAAGGGGTGGGGCGGAAAGAAGGGAGTAAGTTGGCCTTGAAAACCTGGCGACCTCTGTATTTGAATATATATATATATATATATATATATATATATATATATATATATATATATAATGCCACCAGCGCATGAGCGTTGCATGGAAAGAAATACACTAAACACGTTGATATCCCACCCAATTTTGAGTCCGCGCTGGAGCTACCGATGTTTTTGCAATAGAAAACAACAGCGGACAGGTCAAGGTGCCCTTTTGGATCTAGAAACATCACATTGTTATGCTTGCGGCCTCATTTTCTCCTTCTTGCACGTTCTTGCCATGCTTGATGCACCGCCACATTCCGGCCCTAGCGGCCCTAGTCCTCTGGTCAGCGTTTCCTGTGACACTTCAGTCTGCCCAAGAAGATGTTCTCCCGGTCCCGTTCAGAAGGACAGGCTGCCACCAGCTTCTGCTCAGAGCATGACAGTCAGCCCCATCCTCCGCTCAGAGCATGACAGTCAGCCCCCATCCTCCGCTCAGGGCATGAGTCAGCCCCCAGCCCCCGCTCAGAGCATGACAGCCAGTCCCCATCCTCCGCTCAGAATATGACGGACAGCGGCCTGCGGTACTCGCCGGCGGCCGAGGCGGCGTACGCGGCCGGGTAGCCGGGCTGCTGCACGGCCGCCGGCGCCGCGTGGCTCTGCTGCAGGCCGGCGTACGGGTAGCCCTGCTGCTGGGAGTACAGGCCCGACAGCGCCTCGTTCGAGTAGCCGAGGAGGCCTGCCTGCGGCGCCGGCGCCGGCTCCGGCGAGCGGCTCGCCTCCTGCTTCACCTCGAACGGCCGGAACGTCTCGCCCAGGCCGTAGCCGCGCGGCTCCGGCTTGGCCGGCTCGGCGTACTTGACGTGCTCCGGGGAGCTGCGCTGGTACTCGGCCAGCCGCTGCTCGTACTTGAGCGCGGAGGTGGCGCTGGTGTAGGTCGGCTGCGACACGCCGCCCAGAGATGGCGCCAGCGTCGAGTACGCCGGGTTGTACGGCATCGAGTAGCTGGACGTCGCCTGCGAGGTGGGCGAGAGGTTTGTTAGTTTGTAACGAAGCCAGAACGTGTCACAGAGCATTGGCCCCTTTGAAGTTAACATTGATGCCTGTGCTGACTTGAATAAGTGTCATGGTTGTGTTGTGGAGCTAGAATAGCTTAGCACAAACGCGAGCGGTGTTAGCTGCATATACATTTACGTGTTACCGAATTTCATGACAGAGTGACCTTGGTTTGTCATTTGTTGGGTCTGTTTGGTTTTAGAAGCTGTAGGTTTGGGCTACACTAAGTCAGGTTGTCAAGCCGGAGATCATATTTGAATCACAATTACGACAGGGAGTTTCCGACTTTGATTCAACTACTATTCCTGTGCAGTGTTGCTTACCTGCGCCGTTTGCGCCGCCGCAGCTGCCGCCGCTGCCGCCATGTGCGCCGCCGCGAAGGGGTTGTAGCCGTTGCCGTAGTATGATGACATGGCACCGGGGAATCCTGAAACCGGGGGCGCCGTTTGTCAGCGCCTGCAAATTTCTGCCGGCGGCACGGCGATGATCCCAACGGCCAGTTATCTTTACGAGCTCGGTGTTAAGAACAATGGGCGTTGAAGGCAAACCCAGTCTTCTAAAAGTATAATGGCGATATCATGCTAATTTCGATGCAACGTGATGTAGTCATTTCCACACAAGCCGCGCCGCACCCTCCACCGGTGTCAAAGTCGGCGGCAAGACGCCGACCCGGCGGCCGGAGCAGTGACGTCACCAGGGGGAGCCCCTCCGCGGCGAGCCCCGGGGGAGGCCCGGCCCCAGGTGGCGCCGGCTCGCTGGCCTGCCGCGGCGAGCCCCGTTGACACGGGAAACAGCGCCTGGCGGGGAGCAATCGATCACGGCCGCCGGCCGGCCGCCGCCGCTGCAGCCGCCGCTCGCTTCCGCGAACCCTCCCATCGAATTCACTTCAGGTGTCCGCACCGCCCACAACTCGCGTCGGAAACAATCGCTGACGGCTTTGCAGACAGCCGAGCGGTCGTAAAGCGGCACTGGTGCTCGCGCGCGGTGGTAACGGCGCGCCGGTATCGTCCGCGCCGCGGCGCGGCCGCCGCCGGCTGTGTCCACGCGAGGAGTGCCAGGAATTCGCCGGCACAAAAGCCGAATCATAAAAGCGGCGTCACGCGCGTTGCAGGCGGACGGCGCGGCTGGACGGCGGCACAATGCAGCCCGGACAATGGCCGGCCAGATGAGGCGGCGCGTCCCGCTGGCTGCTTTTGTTTCAGCCGCGCGCGGACAGGCGCGCCGCCGAAGCGCGACGTCACCGCCGCGTAGACGTCTGTGGCGCAGTGACCGGCGCTTTCGCCGCGAGAGTGCAGGAGGCGCGAGCGGAGCACGTGGAGCGGGTCTTGTCCCGCCGCTGACCCGGGAGGTTTGGGGAGTTTGAGAGTGTGTGCTGGGTGAGTGAGGAAGGGGACGGGTGGTGTGAGACTGGGACCGCTGGGACCACTGGGACCACTGGGACCACTGGGACCGCTGGGACCACTGGGACCACTGGGACCGCTGGGACCACTGCGACTCCGACGGATGCGGCCAGGAGGCTGTCAGGAAGGCCTGGGGCGAAGTTGCCGCTCAGGTCATCGCAACGAGACTTGGTAGCACTATAAATCCACTCTGCCGAGCCGAACAGCGGATGGTAGTCCAAAATTGTGTCCGTTGGTGTGAACAGTCAGGAGTTGGGCTCGGACGTCCGGACGGGTTCATGGAAATAAGCGGGTGCCTGAATCAGGGAGCAATGCTTAAACAAAAACAAAAAAACAGAATCAAGCGAGAGACCTAAACACAAAAGACAGCAATGTTCTTCTAGGCCATCCTTAACATGACAAAGGGTGGCCGCAGACAAGGAATGAGTGCAGGAGGAGGACATAGCAATCAAAATAGGAGATGACACGTGAAAGCCGCTGGCAAGCAATCCTTGCTTTGGAAACATCTCGGCACAATGATCGAGGGCTGCCAGATTTTCCTCGCCTGCGGCAATGCACCACCGCATCTCTACCCCCACTTCAATGCAGCTTATCTCTGCCGACCGTCCAAGTCAATACAGCCCCAAACACCTAGGCGTCCGGGCGCGGCGCGGCGCGGCCGCCTCCCCTCCGCGCGGCGCGCGCCAGCCGGCGCCCGCGCGCTAATCTCCGCTCCAGCCTTGAGCGCGCGCCAGCCGCTTAGTCGCGTGATTTACGCGGGGGAAATTGGGTCCGACGTCTATTGAGATATCTTTGGTCAGGCCCGGTTAGGGCGCGCGCGCGCGGCCGCCGGCGCCGCCTCCCGCGCCCACCCATGCTCCGAACAGCGAACCGATCGATGTCTCTGCGGCGGCCAGAATCGGATCGGTTACGTCTCCGAGCCGGCGACGCGACCACGCTTGCCGGGGAGCGGGGCACGCGGCCGCCGCACCGTGTCTGAGCACAGAGGAGCAGGCTGACCGAGCTGCGGCGCTGCGTGTTCGGAATATCCGTCAGCCACGGCCGCGAAGCTCAGCACTGTTGAATGTGTTGATGGCAGCCATGCATTGAAAAACGCATCACGTCGTATTAACACGCCAGCAGAGGCATTTTCGATTTACCTCTGGCCGTGCTCCGACAGTGCAGCCGAATCGGTGGATTGAAAAAAGGAAAAGCACCAATATTCCAGGTCAGGATTCTTCTACTGCCTGCCATGGCTCCCACCGAACCTTGCTACGCACGGTCCGGTCAGTGCTGCTACGCGCCGCTGCAGAGGTCACCACACGCCCCCAGCGTCGTCCCAAGGGTCACCACATTCCCCTAGCTTCGCCCCAGAAGTCACCGCACGCCCCCTGCGTCCGCCCACGGTCGTGTTCGCCACCGGCACTGACCTGCGTGACCCCGCACCGGCTCGATGGTGACGTGTGGGTACGGATACGGGAACGGCTCGTTCTTCTTCATGGGCTTGGGCTTGCGGCGCGGCCGGTACTTGTAGTCCGGGTGGTCCTGCATGTGCTGCGCGCGAATCCGCTTCGCCTCGTCGATGAAGGGCCGCTTCTCGGTCTCCGAGAGCACCTTCCACTGGGCGCCTGGGGGATGGAGACGGTGTCAGACGCGAGCGTCGCAGGGGGCCTTCCGAAGAAAACCATATATTGTGGATGCAGTTCTGAAAGAGGTATACCACTTGTCCCTACGTGACGAAGTCGTCATTGGTGCCATGGCTGAACTCGCTGCACTTCCCTATCTTGTGAAAATCCACCGTCGGTGTTTTATGAATCATTATTAGGGAATAGCCAAAAGCGGTAACCACAGCGGCCCCGCGGCCCCAGGGACTGCGTTCCCACGCGTATCGGTGTGATTTGGTCAACCAGCTGCGTTGACCTGGAGCACGGTCCTTCCTCTCGTACAAAAATCAGTATTTTTCGAGCTACCGCGCTCCATTTCGGTCCCGTTTGCAGGCGTGGTCACATGTAGCTGTATTGCTGTCGGTCGTTTTCATAATGTGTGTTATTATTTTGTTGCAGCTTTACCTCCGCATTCCGTGAGTAACTAAAACATGCGACAAATCGCACCTCGTAAGCCGTGTTCGAGTTCGTGTTCGTCGTGGTGTTTTACTCTTTCTGGTGCTCAGGCTTGTTGGGGAATCGCTTTCCACGCATTAGAGGGGGCTCAAACTATCTCCTGATCTTTCAGGGCTTCAAGATGACTCCCAGGTTGAAAAACTAACCTAAAATCTTTATGATACTTCCGGATTATTTTCAGCGATCGATGCGTGGCGCACTAACGTCGTCTACACTTCAAACACTGTACTGGTGTTAACCATGAAACCCTTAATTACTATTTTTTGCATAACGGGTCGCAAGTCGCTAGCCGTGAGCTAACGACTACGGTAACATAAGCACCTAGAGACCATAGCGAAACCCGCAATGAAGAGAATCAGGGACATCACACAAACAACAAACAAACCGGCGGCTCCTCACGCATGAACCTCGTCGCCGCTAACCGCCCCGGCCCTACCGCTGAGCCCGCACCGAGGCCGCACACTGCTGGACGCTGCCGGGGTGGCGGTCCGGCCCGGCCCGGTCCGGTCCGGCCCGGCCCGCCGCCCGGCCCGCCGCCCGGCCCGCCGCCCGGCCCGCCGCCCGCCGACGCCACGCGGCGCGGGTTGCGCCGCGCGCGGCACTTACGGCAGCCGGCCGACCGGCGGACGGCGGCGGCGCCGGCCCGAGCCCGGCAGGCAAGGCGGCGCCAGAGGCTGCCGGTCTAGTACCGGGGTGTTTGCAGGACTATGCGGGGATTTTGGGACTGGGGGGGGGGGGGGGTATGGCTTGTAGCGTGCGGACGTTATGTGGGGGGCTTCGCCCGACGGTGGGCTATCGCGTGCTGGGCGCTAGCCTGTTTTCCAAGTCGCCAACCGAAGGGCTTTGTGCTCCATAAGCCACTCGTTTTCAACCATTTGAGACTAAAATTGCGAAAGTTGAAGCTTATCCGAGTGTGACGCGAGAAATATATGTTTCGTCGGGCGAAGTAGCTCATCAAATTAAATGTAATTGCGGCATTCAAATAATCTCTGAAGGCAAAGCAATCAAATCGAGCCAAAATATGTGGCTTTCCCCGTTTCAAAACGAGGGATGGAGTTTATTTGTCTTCGACAATTTCTATGGGCCAGAATGTCACGATCCTTCAATAACTTGTTCCAAAATGCGCCGCGCATGCATTCAAATTTTACAGCCCACCAATATTTTAGGATAGGCATATTTTGGCGACAAAAGTTACCACAAAATCACGTTTTCAGAACTGATTGCTTTCCTGCGTTAGCGGGCTTTGAGTTACGACCCAAGCACATCCTACTGTCAATTTCTCCCCACAATTATATGAACATTCTAAAAAATGTAGATAATCTATTTTAAGGTTGAATATTTCATAACGTTGTGACATCTAATGCTAATTTATTTGGGAGAGTGGGGATTTGACCCTTACCTCCACACCTACAGATATTAACTTGCATTATAAGTAAAAAATAAAGATCATTGAGCCGAAAACAAAATCTCACCGACACCCAAGGATTTTCTGTTTAGTGATTTTGCAATATTTTGTATTATATTACAGTATATTAAGGGACGAAGACAAGCCTGACAGCACCACCCCGAAGAGACACAGAGCCGCACACATGCACCGCGTCCCCACGCCGCCACGCGCTCTCACCGAGCTGCTTGGAGATCTCAGAGTTGTGCAGCTTGGGGTTGTCCTGGGCGATGCGCCGCCGCTGCATGCGCGACCACACCATGAAGGCGTTCATCGGCCGCTTCACGTGCTGGTCCTTGTCGAGCGGCGCTGCGCCGGAGCTGGAGCCGGAGCCGGAGCCGGAGCCGGAGCCGGCCGGCGACGGGCTGCTGTTCCCCAGCTGCTGCATGATGCGTCGAGTGGCCGCCTGCCGGACGGACGAGGCGGGCTTATGCAGCGCCGGGCGGCCGTTCGGGGTGACCGACTCCCGCCGCTCCGCAGCAGCGGAGCCGGAGGCCTGACATCAAACGGGTGTGACGTGTAGGGGGTGGGAGAGGCGCTGCACCCAGTGTTCGCTCGTCTGTGCTGCATACCCGTTTGAGTTGAACAGTTCCCCTGAGAGCTGCCTCCTGAGTGGTAACCATGCGATATTTGATCACGCGCAGTGGAAGGTAGCACCGAAACCAAGGCCTACGAACACTAGAAAATACCATTATGATGGTTAGACGCAGGACTTGGCTGAGTGCCAAATGTGTTCCTGCGCCGTGCGGATGCGCTTGGACTTGTGATCAGCTGATGGGCTTGATGCTGTTCTTACCTTGCAAACACTCGTAGATAATCGGTGCACTCCTCCACACACCAAGACGGGATAATGACACCTCTGCCGGCGTTTTTCTACAATGAAACAAGAAACAGCCCGCTTGTGTCGAACTTTCCAAAAAACTGACCCGCCCGGGACGCATTGTACAGCGACGCCACTTCACCAGAGGGATGCCGTGACGTCACGCGCTCGGACCAATCGATCGGCTGAGAACAATGTCAGGCTCCGCCCAGGAAGCTCGCCGGCCGCCGCCATTGGTCGAGCCGACCGCCGGATGAAAGGAATTGTAAATGACCACGCATTGTGCGCAGCTGAATGCCGCCGTTCAAAAGTGTGAATGGCAAGGAGACTGTACAATAAGGGAGGGGGCCTGATTGATCTCTCTAGAAACACCTGGTCTCAGCGCATGGAATTTGCGCACCGGCGTGCCGCCAAAAATACGCGACAAACAGAGGAGTTCGCGAGCCAGTCTGTTTGATTTTGGGGCGTTCGACAAGCGCCACATGCTCACCTTTCCCTCCCCCCACGCCCATGGGGTGTGCGAGTCTGTCCGTAGAGCAGAGTCAAGTTTCGCCTCCATGTTTCGTTCGAAAATCGTCTTCTGCGTTTCGCGTATTGCTCGGTGGCGCGGACGCTCACACACAAATTAAGTAAGTTTGATGAATGGGGTGTGTTCGTTTATGCTCCAGTTTCGTGCACGCAAATGATGAGCGACCGCAGACTGCTGCGGTGTGGATGGCTCGTAAACACGCGCAAGGACATGATGTGGCCGGTATGATAATGGGTCCCGACTCTGACAGCAAGACTCGGTAATTCCTAATGATGGTCGTGGAGTACTAAGCATGATTAACGACCTGCAGTGCGATGGGCTGCCCGGTATGCTCTCGAGCGCTCGGCTGAGCGGGATGCCCTGAATGCAAACACTCCGCGCCAGGGATCAGGGTGGCGCCGCAGTCAAGGGACCACCTGGAGCCGTTACTGCACACTAACGGCGTCTTGGAACCGATTGTTTAGGCCAGCGGCGTTGTCAAGAATTATCCAAAAAATATCCGAACAAGAGGGATAGCTTGGCGAAACTTCCCACAGCTGATGGACGGGGATACAGCCCCCCTCGACTTTGTGCCAGTTCCCCAGCCATGGGTGGAGCTTTTCACACATCTGTATGGAGGTACCCTAGCGAGTCCAGCATGCCTTGATCTCAGTTTTCATGAATTTTAACGAGGCGCCCATGGCCGGTGGCTTGTGGCAAAAATCGACTTAAGGGAAGAGAGTGAATATTTCTGTCAACTCAGTCACGGACGCGGTGGTCTGCATGTATCGCATGCATCTATCCATTTGCACGCTGACCGTTCTTTGAACATTCAATGCCCTCTTTCAAAAAGCATCATTCGCAATTTAATAACTAATACAACAATCGAGCACCGCTGAGTCGTCCGAGCCCACTACGAGTCGTCGGTTGCAGGACTAACTAGGTCCTCCGAGCCCCAAGGCGTCTGGTAAGCGCGTTAATGATGTGCGATACGATCTGGGCCGGCGCGGCGTTGCCAGGTTTTGCTCGCCAATCACGGAAGCCGGCTTTGTTGGCCTAACACCCGTGATGAGCGTGCCTTATCGCACCGCCGGCCGCGTGACGGCCGTCACGCACGCACCGGGCGGGGGCGCGCCGCCGCCCGTTCACAGGGGCAAATTAACGCAAACCGAGTGCACTGTTGCCGATTAGCTACCGTTCAGCAGCCGCCGCCACACCGCGGGACCACTCACCAATGTGGTTTTGTGAAGTCAGTTGAGTTGAGCGAGCGCTATTTTGGCTGATCGCACCCGCAAACTGGGCCCAAACACGAAACTGCGACGACTTGGCCCACTTCATGTTCAAAGAGGGGCGTGGTGGAGCTCTCTCAGTGTGACTGGAGTACATCGGGGTTTTAAACTCCCGCGCAGGGTCAGGAGAAGCCCTGACATCTCCACAGAGATCTACCAACAGGGAGCTACTCTGGGGACCCGCCACCAGCTGCGCACACAGCCATGAATAGTTGGCATGCTGTAGACATATGTGCCCATTGAACTCGTCAAACAAGATTTGGAGATTCACGAAGAGCAGAGTTCGGAAGAATATGTTTGGCTTTTCGACCCTGGGGGCTGCTAGGTCCCACCCAGCCATCCTCGGCAAGGGGATGCACTTGGGCCCAGTGGAATCCCACCTGGCCATCCTCGACAGGGGGCTGCACCGAGGGCCTGCGGGGTCCCACCTGGTCGTCCTCGACAGGAGGCTGCACCGAAGACTGCGGGGTCCCACCTGGCTGTCCTCGACAGGAGGCTGCACCGAAGACTGCGGGGTCCCACCTGGCTGCCCTCGACAGGGGGCTGCACCGGAGACTCCGACCCTGGGATCCGCGGGGTCCCACCTGGCCGTCCTCGACAGGAGGCTGCACCGGAGACTTCAGCCCTGGGATCTGCGGGGTCCCACCTGGCCATCCTCGACAGGGGGCTGCACCGAGGGCCTGCGGGGTCCCTTCTGGCCGTCCTCGACAGGAGGCTGCACCGGAGACTCCGACCCTGGGATCTGCGGGGTCCCATCTGGCCGTCCTCGGCGGGGGCTGCACCGGGGGCCTGCGGGGTCCCACCTGGCCGCCCTCGACAGGAGGCTGCACCGGAGACTTCAGCCCTGGGATCTGCGAGGTCCCATCTGGCCGCCCTCGGCGGGGGGTGGACGGCTCGGGCCGGCGGACCCCTGGCGAGGTGTGTGCCTCCAATCAGTCCATCTCCGCACCGAAATCACGGATTAGTGTTCTTGTTTTCGTCTCGGCCGAGATACATGGCCGATAGTGTCACCTGGCCCTGTATTCTATTAGTCACAACAATTATAATCCACATCAAAGGCGTCGTTAAGATCTGTTTTAAAAACCCTGTCGCGTTAAGCCCCTGCGGAATGGAAAGGCGAGATGAAAATTCGAAACAAATGGCGGTCCGAAGGCCGTTGTGTTTTGTCGACAACGATACAATTGCTGGCGTATGAAGGATGCGTGTTATGTGACCATGGAACTGATGTGACCTTTCTCTTCCAGGGCTGAGCAGCTGAGTCGGCATTCTTTTCCGCTTGTCTGGCGTCTTGGCAGCTAAGTCACCATATTGGATGGCAGCAGTAAAGAAGGCACACCAGTGCGGGCTAACTCCTGGTTTTCATTCTGCCACGGTTTGATGCAGCGACTAATTTTGGTTCAGGCCCTGCCTGAATCATGTAAAGAGGGGTAATGTATCAATGAGACGTTACTCCCATACACTCAAGGTATCTGGTGTGAACCAAGCCTAATGCAATGCAAAGTAAACATTACTTAATCTGGACAAGGTCCATCCTATCCTAAATCTTCAGTCCTTGCACGTACTATTCAGGCGAGAACATCTGTCTAATAGCTTCTCCGATAATCATAACCCACAATGCACCACTTACGTGAGATTTTACAAACATGCACAATTTGGCGCAAATTTGTGCATGACTATGAGAAACGACAGTGGAGCATGTTTGCGTGTGTTTTGGTCGTTTAGTTGCGTACTTACTGTTAAGTTTTTAAATTTCGCAGTTCGCAGTCTGTCGTATAATTTTGCGAGAACTGGGCCATGTCAACATATGGCAAAAATGTGCACATTAAATCAGAACGTTTAAGTTGGGGCAATCAATTTCTCAACACGTTCTGTCTCAAGAAATTGTTTGTTTTTAATCATATCAGAATTTTATTTCGTTGCGCGACAGCCGAAGACAATGCAGAGAAGTGACAAAATGCCAAGAGTTCAGGATTTGATACAGCTGAGATTTGCCTTGAGGAAAAACCTTTTCTCCTCGTTCTAGCACGCATAAGACTGGATATTTCCCTTAAAGCCCAGCACCTCCAAAGACAACAAAGCTGCCAAACCACCGGTTGTGTATGTGAAGTGCGCAGAAAGACTGCGACATGCTCTCTGATGGGTTTGGCGTCTTCAGGAATTCTGCTTCAGGGAGAAAAAGTTCCTTCAAATTTCACAGCAATTCACATTACGCCTACCGTGTTGCATGGAACAAATGGTTTAAAAAGTCGCGATGTCCTAGTCCTTCCAACTTTTGGTACTTTGCGACCTTTTATTGCTTCTTGCTCCGAAGTTTTGCCCTGGAATGAGTCCAGTAGTAGGTGAGGCCAACGATAAAGCGCAATCTCAACACAAGTTTAGTCGCTTGGTAGATGTTGGTCTTGAAGAGTTGTCCCTCAAATCAAAATTATTATTCCGTATGAGGAAAAAGCCAAGTGTTTCTGGACGTGCTGTGCTGTTAAGCGCCAAAGAAGAATATGCCATCAAAATGTATTTTCCATGAGCAGTGGGGTGTCATTTCCAATAGTTTCTTACCAGCCACTTCATTTATCAACATTTTGTCCTTAGTTTTACTTCTTGTCGGTCAGAATCGTGGATTTGATTTTGCAACTTCTTACCTATAGAAAGTGCTGTGCATGATTCGGAGGTGATGTCAATCTCTAAAAAAAACTGGAGTAATTTATGCTTGATATTAATATAGTTTATACTTGATATTAATGCTTGATAGTATATTTGTCAGACCTGCACACCAAAAGTCTTAAGTAATAAATTGATCTAATGGTTATTTATTTCAACTACTTCTCAAACATGGTGACACAAATGATCGCCAGTAGAGAATGTTTGCCTTCTGAGGCTGCTTTATTGTCACGCTTGCTTCTGTTCGAGTGCAGCATGCTGGTGAGTCATGACATGTGTATTGACCTCGTGATTATTTGTTAAAAGTTTGCTCTTGTGCAATTGAAATTCAACCTCAACGAACCACAATGATGTTACAAGCTAAACGATGGTAATATTTTGTGCCTTATGTGAGCTTATTTTTGCACACGTTTCGTCTCCTTATTGATTGTAAAATTATGGAGCTGCACTTGGCTTGAATTAAGTGTAACACACCATTATTTTGTACTGCGTAGCATAAACGGGCACAAAGAACAAAATATAATGGAATGCTCACTGTAAACGCGACTAGGGCATGGGGCCCTCATTGAGGCTTGAGCTCCATTCGAGTAAACGATGAAACGTAACGTAACCTAAACCCAAGGGCGTGCATC